CCCAAATGTGTGTGTGAGTTGCGTGTTTGACACATTGTGTGTCTTGTTTACTGAATTTTATTTGTTTCCGTAATTGTTTTGGACTTTTGGTTTGCGCTGTGTTCTTCCATTTTCTGTGCTGAATCCAACCGTATAAAGAACGTGAATTTTGGATATACGGTTGGAAAGTTAGAGGTCAAAAACTGGACAGAGGTCGAAACTGAAAAACAGAGAAAACGACTATGTGCAAAAACGACCGGTCACTTTTACCTCAATAGATTCGTGCACTTGCGGGTATTTTTAATTGGTTGTTTGCACATTAATTTGTGTCTTTTTAGGAATGCAACAATTTTTGGCGCCGTTGCCGGGGAACTGGCACGGTTGCTTATCTGTTTTGTTTGAGTATATTTAGAGTACTTAATTTTATTTTTGTTTATTGTTTGTTGTTTCATTTTATCTTGATTTGTTTTTGCTTCTTTTTCTTGCAGGAACATTTTGTTTATGTCCCTTTAGATTTGGATATTTCATTTGAGTGCACATTAGAAGAATTCCGAGCTCAAATTCTGAGAGAAAGGAACATCCGACTAGCTGTGTCTACTCCATTGCCTATTTCATTCTCACTGTTTTCATCATCACCAAGCTCACCAATAGTCGAGTCACCTCCACCGTCACCAATGGCGGCCGCAGCTGCAATTGTGGAACTTACTATGCAAGAATACTCTTCACCGCCAGCAGCTGGACAACCATCTTGCATAGTATATCCCGCAACCACTTTGGAAAACTTTGAGTTGAGATCGGGCATGATACACATATTGCCTAAGTTCTTGGGAAATCCCGGAGAAAATCCTAATGCACATATCCTAGACTTTGAGGAAGTGTGTTCCACAATAAAGATCGAAGGCATGAATAGTGACGAGATAAGAATGAGACTTTTCTCGTTTAGTTTGAAGGATACAGCAAAGGAATGGCTTCACTATCTACCTCCAAATTCCATCACAACGTGGACGGACCTTGCTACAAAGTTCTTGCAACATTTTTTCCCAGCACAAAGGACAAATGAACTCCGAAGTCAGATTACAGGAATTCTGCAAAGGCCGGGAGAAAGCTTCCAGGATTATTGGGACCGTTTCAAAAAACTTCTAATCACTTGTCCGCACCATAACGTACAAGCTTGGCTTCTAATGGAACACTTCTATGAAGGACTTTTTGAAGCGGATCAAAATAATGTGAATGCAGCTGCAGGAGGAACTATAATGACCAAGACTCCAACAGAAGTGTGAGCGATATTTGATCTTGTTGCTGCAAATGCTCGCT